AGCACGCACACACATAAGCACGCACGCACACATATGTGCACACACACACACACAAACGCTAATATGAATAATAAAAATCATAATCTATATTCAGAAATCGCAACTATGAAGCAAATATTTATGTAATGTTTGAGTTCAATTACTTTTGATCAGAACTTTCTCAAAATAATTATCCAGTGAGATTATTTATACATACATATACGTATACAGAGTAAAGTAGAAAAATGCATGAAATCAATAAATATGAATATATTACTTATTTAACTAAGTATATGGAATTTATTTATTTATTTTTTCATACCTCCCACTAAAGGAAGAAGGACAGCTGTCATGTGTTTATACTGACAAAAGTAATAGTAAATCTAAAATCATGACATTGCCTCGAAGCTGTGGTTTAACAGAAAACAACCATGGTCCATAATAACTAATATTTGGTTGAAGAACACTGAAGCCAAACAATTTCTGAGACTCAGACTTCTGCACCTGTTGACAGATGTTTTAACCCTGAGCTCATTAGTGAAGTTCTTCTTTTTCTGGGACTTTTTTTTTTTCCAACCACAATTCAAAAGCAAAGTTTTATTTCAAGGCTCAAGAGCAGTTACTTTCACCACTCTGAATGTGTTGTAACGTGCCCAAAGGCCAGTACTGACATCACAAATGACAAGAAATTAACTTTTAATTTGCAGACACAAACATCCCATCTGTCTGGCCTACAAACAAGAAGCACTGCACAAGGCCTTGACACTGGATAAAGGAGACATAATAAAACTAGCTACCTTATCTCGGCTGTAAGAAAAATCATACAGAACACGAGACTTTCTGCACTTTCACTCTAAATAAAGTTCATCTTCCTTGAATCATAAATGACCTTTTGAAAACGTGATAATTGCAAAAGTGTCATATAATCATCTCTTGTTAAATTCCAAATTTTTGAATAATGTGTGTGCATTAATCAATGATGTGTTAAAATTAATATTTTCCTACAAGGATTCATTTCAGATCTTAAGCTACACCAGATCAGTTAACAAGTTAATCTATCAGTATACTCATACATCATAAGATTAATATTAAAGGAGACATAACATGCTTTTAAATTATTCCTTTTTACATCTAAGTCATTCAGTTGGGGGTCTAAATACAGTGGAACTGCAGTTCTTTGGTCTGCTTTCCTCATTATTGTTGCTCTACAGACCCTCATCTACCCCTGTTCTGAGGAGAGTCTGAGAATGAGCCGTTTTTGGGTACTGTCTCTTTAAATCTAGAGAAGGGGCTGCAAACCCCGCCCCCTTCCACAGTGCAGACCTGTACTCTCCTTCCCCAGTTGGACTTTGTAGTTCTACAGAGAAATCATCACAGCAGAAACGTTATATTAGCATTTTTAAAACATGTGAGAAGAGTTGTCCATCAAGCTGTTTCAAGGCTGCCAACTCTCTCATGAATTTGTCTGTAGTCACACACACACACACACACACACACACACACACACACACACACACACACACACACACACACAACCGTCAAGGCCGACGGAGGGACAAGCGAGCAAGCACACGCACAAACACACACACACAAGGAATGCTGCTTGCTTATTTATTTCTGTTAAAAATTGTTTTAAAAAATGATACAGCTCATTAAAACACATTAAAAGAATATATTTTATTAAGATCTCTCTCTGTATGTGTGTATATATATATATATATATATATATATATATATATATATATATATATATATATATATATATATATAAAGAGAGAGAGAGAGAGAGAGAGAGAGAGAGAGAGATTTATCTCAACTGCGATTAAACAGACAGACAGATATTGGATGTTTAAGATTTTTTAGGATTCTGAAATATTTTATCCTATTTTCTGTGAAGAAGTATGCTTTGAAATTGACATATTTTACTAGTAAATATTAATAACTTCCAAAATTTCTGAATTGTTGAAACAGAAATGAATCAGGATCAAACTGTGATCGTGATTTTGTAAAAATAAAATTGTAATATGATTTTTTCCCCCCCTACTGCCCACCCCTATGACTATTATGCTGCCTTCTTTGACAAATCTCAAAATACTGTAAATTATAAGCCTAGGTGAAAGTTTGCCAAAGCAAAACTATTTTGCTCTGCATGTCAGTCTAGCCATGCTCCATGGGAGCCTCAGCCGGTGTTGGGCTGAGCAGTACTGTGTATTGCCAATCACAGCGCTCTATTGATTTGGAGGGCCAATCACAGCGCTCTATTGATTTGGAGGGCCAATCACAGCACTCTATCGGTTTAGTGGGCGGGATGATGCAACAAAACAGAACAACAAAAATGGCGGTGGCTTGCTTGAAACAGCTTTGGCATCCACTTTGCACTTTTTGGACTTGGGCTTTTCTTCAAGTCAAGAGCAGCTAGAGGTACTTAGGTACTTAACTTGTTGTCCAATAGCATGTAGAGACAGTTTGAAAGACAACTGTAGATCCCGCCTCATGACTGGGCTCTCTCTATGGGTTATAGCCAGAATAAATATTCAGATAGGATGGCTTGTCAGGCTAATAAAACATATTTTCATGGGTACAAATGCAATTTTGATGTTTTATTTCCACAAATAACACAAGATTGAATATGTTACACCATGTTGTGGAGTTGCTACTGCTAATTGTTAGCTTTTTTTTAATTAATTTTTTTTCATTTATTTCATTCAAAATAAAAACAAATAAAACATAAACAATAAGAAATGCATAACAAAAAATCAAATTTGAACAAAAAGGAGCAGAATGAAGAAAAACATCTTATAATTTCTGCCCCCTTTTCCAGTAGAAATAATCAATTTATATATAATTTCCATTTGTCAGACACACAAACAGATTCATTTTAAACTTTTTCCTGTTCCAAATTCCAGTGCGATCATGATCATTGATTTAATTTACATTTTCATAATTATTTAGTACACTCAATTTGGTACATTTTTTGAATATATGAAATGACAGGTTTTTTTTGTTTCCCTTTTAAGGTTATTGCATAATTTAACACCATTTACAGATATATTCCATTCCTTAATTTTAGTTCTAAATCTAGGTTTTATAAACACATCAGTTTCTTTCAGCACGTAATTACTAGTTCTCTTTTCAAATATCCCCTGAATGTTTGTTGGCAGAGTACCTAAATTGGCTTTACACATGGTTTGTAAGATTTTCCAGTCTTTCAGTAATTTATATTTAATAAGCTTCTTCTAGCTGAGGAGCACTCTGCTTTCTCCTGGTTGCAAATTCAACAATAGCCTTCCGCAGTTCCAAGCTATGTGGGCGAGGTCATGATACTAATTTTCCCTGTGATGTAGAAGGTCCCTCGTTTGCTAACGCACTCATTTCCCATTTATTTCCTTCTTTGTGCAATGCAGGCAATGGGGGTTGAAAAGAATGTTCATGTTGAGCATGAATATCTAACTCAGAGTGTCGGATCGTATTTCAAAAAGTACGGTTTCTCATCAAACAAGACCTTTAATAAAATAGGCCAGGGATGCCAGCACACCTGCTGAAAGGAAAAAGCATACAAACCCTGTTCTGTCATCCTCTACAAATGCTAATCATAATCATCATCATCATCATTTTATTAAAAAGCACCTTCTTAAACTTTTCATGTCCAAGGTGCTGTTCATGATGCAGCAAAAACACACTAACTTTGTATAACTAAGCTCAATTTAATTAAAACAATAAAAAAATAATACAACCATCTCAACCCCAACAGTAGCATAAGCGTTAATAAAAGACAAAATAAAACTAAACTCACTCCAACTCCTTTATAAAAGCCAAAGAATAAAAACAGATCTTTTATCTACTGTTAAAAACATCCAGTAACAGAGCTTGCTTGACCACCAGCGGGAGATTGTTCCATAATTTAGGTCCAAGAAATGAAAAGGCCCGCTCTCCTCTGGTCACCCATTTCACCTTTGGAACTACTATAGTGGACCAAGGCGGCCGTGATGGAGCATACCGGACCAGAAGCTCACACAGTTATAATGGGGCAGTCCCCAGCAGTGATATCAAAACAAAAACCAGAATCTTAAAATAAATTCTATAACTAATGCATAAATAATATAGTCTGCAAATCATGTCCTTCTGAACAGGGAAAACAGTTCCTGTATTGGTGGACAGGCCACCCTATAATCTTACAAATGCTTCAATTCAGTCTGTAAAGGTAAAATCTCCTTCATTTGACTTGTTCTATGATCCAGATACATGTAAGAAGTGTTCAGTGGAAGCTTTTCAATTGAATTTCTATGATTACTATTCATATTTGTATCCAAGCTGGTCTAAATCCACGTGCTCCTGGCTTACAACGGCTAAACTGTGGGATATTTATAAGATCATAGAAGCTCTTTTTCTCACATGATAGCAGGACCTTCTTTGACTTCTGGTAGTTGTTTTGGTATTTGCAAAATCCTGAACTTTTAAAATACATTTATCTTTTACCACTCATAAAGCTGACCATAATCAGCGGTACCGTATTCTTTTTAGGTCTCAAACTTTGAATGGTGAAAAAATTAGTAAAATAATTCACCAATTTAATAATAAATCACATATAATTGATATGCTTCAGATCAAGTGGCTTGATATTAAATGAATGGGTTTGCAGATTTGTTGACAGCATGGAAACACAGAAAAGTTCAAGCTAGCCAAGGCCCAGAAGTGTAAATACACCAGTTAGGATGTATTAGAGCACATTCAGCAGGTCAAACCTGCTTCCTTCTGTTGCTATGAACAAGAACCTAACCCTAAAGGAAGACATAGCAGTAACTACCACAGAGATGCTGCACAGTGACTGGGGTTAGATACTCACATTAAGTCCCAGAGACTTGTACTTTGCTTTTTTCAGCCCATCCAATTCTGTTTATCAACAGTATGTCATCCATATGGGAAGCTAACTCATCTTGAAGATATCGTCCTCATTTTGAACTGCTGCCAAACCATCTGAAGTCTGTACTGAAATCTGGAAACAAAACCAGACATATACTCACACGAGGAAATGGTAGAGGAAGCATTTCAATCCAGCAGGTCGTTCCAGGAAGTTGTAAACATCCCCTTGCATGCTTGTCTTGATGTAAGGGCTCTGGAACTCCTTCTGGTGATTTCTCAGCCAACTTGAACGAGGAAGAGGCGGTGGGATCGGGGTGATGGAGGGCTGGTTGTGAACGATCTGCAAGGCTGGGTCCTTGGTGTCAGCTGGCGGACAGCAGGGAATGCTTGATCCATTATTCACCAGAGCGGGGTCTAATTCCAGCGAGACGGGGGAGTAGTGGCCGATGTCAGGCACAGGAACCCGTAGGGTACCGGTGGAGGCTGCGAGGTCCATGTCGTGGTCCAGGCTGAGACTTACACTGGTGCCGGCACATCCATTGGGGCTGCAACGTATGAAGGAACTCTTCATCCGGCTGCCATAGTCACGCTGCACATGACACGTCATGTGAAAGGATCGTGCTCGTCTCTCCTCCATCTTCAGGACGGTCCACTTTACCCAGCGTCGACGGGGACTTTACGTCCTGAGGGCTGTGACCCAGGATCTGGTAAGGAAGGAAGAGCCCAGTAGGAGGAGGAACCTAGCTAGGCATGACTAGCTCCCTGTGGCGGAGAAGAGCACTCTCGGTTGGGCTGTGTGCGTGTCCATACCTACAAAAGAAGGTGTAACATGAGTCAGGAGGTAAATATGACTGAAAGAAGACTCAGCAAGCTACACCATCAAGCTACACCTGTTGGCGAGTCATAAGAGACAAAGAAAATAGAGAAATCATGCAAATTTCCATTTGCATCACAGATGTTTTGTGTATGGGGTCGTGGGTCATGTGGCCCTTATGATGTAACTGTAATCAAATTGCAACATTTCCATAGAAGTCAATTTTTTGTCAGTTTAATCACCAAGTGTTTAATCGTCTTTACATTAGTACGCAGTTTAACCTTAGTGTTTTGTTTCTTGCATTTTTGACTCACTTTAAATTGCAAAAGGTTTGACATGAAAAAAAGTTTACCAAATATTGTTTAACTCACTGTTTCGGGACATGGAAAGTTGTTTAAACGCGTCACCTTTTAGGTGATTTTTAGAGCTTTAGAAGTACGTTTCTGTGAAAAATTGTATGTACTATATTATTATATTACCTTTTGCAGATAACTGAACAACTTCACTTTGGATAAACAGAGATTAACCGTGGCAGGGCAGCTAAGCTACAGACTGTAAAATGTTTCTGCTGTTTTAGACACATTTCCTAGTAAAACGTTACTCCATGCTGATGCAACGTTCAATACAAGACTGTTAAATGCTGTTTACATCAGGAACTTGTTATAAAGAGAAGTGTTCAGCAGCTTGTTGTGTAGTTTTCCATGTTGTTTCTTGTGTTTAATGCTAAAAACACAGAGGATGTCTGATCATGATAAAACGAAAAAGGCTGTTTAAACACAAATGGAAGGAGTCTGGAAGTGATCCCAGTGTAACTGGTGACCCGTGAGGATAAAGTAAGCAGGTTATGCTTTTATGTAACGGAAACATACGTGGCTTAATGCAGCAGTGACACACACTAGTTCATGTCCATCTCTCTCTCTCTCTCTCTCTCTCTCTCTCTCTCTCTCTCTCTCTCTCTCTCTCTCTCTCTCTCTCTCTCTCTCTCTCTCTCTCTCTCTCTCTCTCTCTCTCTCTCTCTCTCTCGCTCTCTCTCTCTCTCTCAGGATTTTATTTAGTTAAAAAAAAAACACCGTCCTGTTGAATTGCCCTTGATGGATGTCAACCCCCTGACCCCACCCCCTCCATCTGGGCAAGCAAAACAAACGCACCACATGCACTTTGCATGTGTTTATGGAGGGAAATAATTCAGCCGCTTACACTCAACAGTAAGCAACAGAATGTGACCTTTCCTAATGGTCAAACTAAACATGTCACGTCAACGTGCAACCCACCAGAAATTAGACTGATAAAGGAAATGGGCAATGGCAGCCACATGCGCTGTGGTTTTCCAGCCTCAGGTTTACTTTTCCTATCCATGTTTTATATTTATCACATCTGTTGCACCAAAGCTGCAGTAAAGAACAGAACAATAACTGCTGCTGCAGGAAATCACATCATTTTAAGCTTTAGCAGCTAAAGAGATCGAAACATGAAGTAAATGAGTGTTAATACAGTGCAAGTTTTGGCCACTTGAACTTTTTGTCACGCCTACATGTTTCACATCAGTTAACCCATATTTTTTATCAGACACAGATAATCTTAGTTAGTACAAATTAATAGATTAACTACCTGTAATTACCAACATGTTTTAGACAGCTGGAGTCAGTTTTAGCAGTTAAATACAGGCTTGAACCAGCTTAGTGGCATTGTGGTATGAGCGGCCGCCCTGAGACTGGGAGATCGTCGTCGTCTTCCTCCGCTTATCCGGGTCAGGGTCGCGGGGGCAGCATCCCAACTAGGGAGCTCCAGACCGAACTCTCCCCTGCCTTCTCCACCAGCTCCACCGGCAGGACCCCAAGGCGTTTCCGGACCAGATTGGAGATGTAACCTCTCCAACGTGTCCTGGGTCGACCCGGGGGCCTCCTGCCAGCAGGACATGCCCGAAACACCTCCCCAGGGAGGCGTCCAGGAGGCATCCTGACCAGATACCCAAACCACCTCAACTGGCTCCTTTCGATCCGGAGGAGCAGCGGTTCTACTCCGAGTCCCTCCCGAATGTCCGAGCTTCTCACCCGATCTCTAAGGCTGAGCCCGGCCACCCTACGGAGGAAACTCATTTCGGCCGCTTGTATCCGCGATCTCGTTCTTTCGGTCACTACCCAAGGCTCATGACCATAGGTGAGGATTGGGACGTAGATCGACCGGTAAATCGAGAGCCTGGCTTTCTGGCTCAGCTCCCTCTTCACCACGACAGATAGGCTCTGCATCCGCATCACTGCAGATGCCAAACCAATCCGCCTGTCGATCTACCGATCCCTCCTACCCTCACTCGTGAACAAGACCCTGAGATACTTAAACTCCTCCACTTGAGGTAGGACCTCTCCCCCGACCCGGAGGTGGCAAGCCACCCTTTTCCGGTCTGGGAGATCGTGGGTTCAAATCCAAGGTCGGGTCACACCAAAGACTTTAAAAATGGGGCCCAATGCCTCCCCCTGCTTGACACTCAGCATTAAGGTGTTCGATGGGGGTGGGGTGGGGGTGTGTGTGTGTGTGGGGGGGGGGGGGGGGGGTGCTTCCTGAGTGTCTGCAGCTCACCGCTCCCCCAGGGGATGGGTCAAATGTGAAGAACAAATTTTACACACCACTGGGACAGCTAATGGCACTTTAACTTGACTGATGCTAGACCTGAATTAAAAAGCACTTCTGTGTAACCTCTTTGACAACGTGGAGTAGGCTAAACGATCTCAATAATAAACCTTCCATGCAATGGCGCCCCCAAGGGGTGGCCAGGGGTGGCCATGGCTACCCCTAGAAAATCGCTGCCATCTCTAGCTAAAGCCAGTTTTAATAAGTCATGTTAACTAACGTTCACTCAAACCATGAATTTATCTTATTTATTCAAGACATAATTGTAAAACAAAATAAAAACAATACAATTAATGAGTAAAGAAATAATCAGAATAAAAATAATACACACCTCAAAAAATAAATAAATAAAAGAATACATCATGGCAACAGTCAGGCATGGGGGTGGTAGTGTGATGGTCTGGGGCTGCTTTGCTGCTTTGGGTTCCTGAACCACTGTAGTAGATGGAACCATGAATTATGCACTTTACCAAAAAATTTTGAAGGATACATTTTGACCTTTGAACCTAAACAAGCTGTTCATGCTGAGAAGCCCTCCAGCATGGCTGAATTAGAACATTTCTGCAGAGAAGAGTGTTGTAAAATTCCTCCACACAGATGTAACAGAGCTTAGTTTAGATGACATTTTCCTCGTAATAAATGAAATCATCATTAGAAATTGTAGTTTGCATTCATTCAGGTTATCCTTTTCTGACTTTGATATTTATTTAGAAATCTGACCGATTTCAGTGTGACAAAGAAACAAAAAGTAAAAAAAAATCGGTAAGAAGGCAAGTCCTTTTTGCACATCACTGTAAGGGAAGTTGTCAGTGTTAATAAGAAGAGCTGCAGTCGATAAAGAAGGAGGCAGAACTATCGTGTAATTTAAAACTATCCTGCCTGAAATGAAAAAAGAAGAAAGTCAAGACAGCTTGACAACTTCACAAAACACTTGCCATCTGAACAACCAAGGCACACTCCACTCAGACCAATGCACCATTCAGCATCCTATGCAAGGCTGGGGGGCATTTATTGTGTTCTCTGTGGGGAAACTGAAGCAGGTGGTGCGATATATGTTACCTAAAAGTATCGGAAAAAGCCTCCAGGGACTATAGAGGTGGGCTGTTCATGTTCAACTATGGATGAGATGATGACAAGAGCTGCCGTCTCTCTTTAGACAGAGTTTCTGTCTTTAAACAAACGAAAACAAACATATAAGATGCAAGGAAAGTTCAACTGAGTTCATAACAAGCGAAATTGTGGCATTACATACTTTCTACGTCATAAATATATTATTGTCGCCTTGAAAATGGCCAATGAGCGCAGTTAAGAGATAAAACATTTAGAACTGTATATCAAGCTTGCTTATATAAACATAACTATAAAGAAAAATTTATAAAAGATTAAAAAATAAACGCATTTTACCTTAAACTCCAAGCTGATCGGCATCGAATGAAGTTCCTCACAACAAGGCACAATTTCGTCACAGTTTTTTTTTTAAATTAAAGTAGAATCCAGTAATACATGATGTCATATAAATAAAAATCACCCACTAACATATGGACGTTTAGGTCATAACGAAAACAGGGAGAAAGCACAAGTGTTGTTTAATCGGCGGCTGCATGCAGGACCTGTCTCCTTAAAGAGCGTCGCAGCTGTGCCTGAACCAATGCTGCGTTCAAAGGTTGTAGAAAATCTCAGTACCGAACGACAGAGCAGTTCTGACACCGATAATGTCATTCAGCGTCGCCTATTTAACTCCTTTGATTGTTGAATTTAATTTCAGAAGTGGATGAAACATTAAATGGGTTCATGTTAAATAGCTGGACCTGGAAGCCAAGTACACCATTTAAGTGTGTCCCAGTTTCACTCCATCCTCATGTCTTCTGATCCAGATTCTCAGATGACACCTCTCCAAACTAATACTAAAATAATATACTGCGTTGTTGTTTAGGTTATCGCTGTAATATATCATAGAAAACATGGAAATTTCAGATGTGCCTGCTTTGCAATTTAAAATGTCCGCAATTTATCTCCAGATAACCAAGAACTGTTGCAATTTACAGACTAGTGTAACGTGAGGAAGTGTGGGTTTTCTGTCACAAAGCTGTGTTTGACCCGACTGGGTCGCTCAGAACTTTAAAACACAGATTGGGACCTTTGCAGACATGAAGTCTGCGAATATACCATGAATATCTGGTTAATTACACACCAGCCAAATGTGTTTTTAAATCAGTGATCTTCAGAGTTGTGGTTACTAATTAGAGAATCATGAAATGATCCCTAAATCAGTTACAAATTTTTAAAAAGTCTTACGGATTGCTGTAAAGTCATTGACACAAGTCAGTGATTGGATGCAATCTACTGGATTTTCTTAACTTTTTTTTCGAACAAGGTTAAAAAATATTGAATTCCCAAAGAAAAAGTAGAAAAACAACAAATGTAGTAAGTAAAAATAAAAAAATAATAATAAAATGGCCTTACCATATAGACTTTCCAACTATATCAAAGTAACACAAACTAAAATGGTTTAAAAAGGAAGCATAGCTTATTTCACCTATCAGTAAATACATTTACACACACTTCTACATTTGAAATATCAGAGTACAACAACGTCTGAGTACAACATCACGACACAACAACACAAAACTATCAACATATAACATTGATGTATACCACATGACTACAGTACTCGTACGAATCATTCTTCCTCTTGTCTGTATCTGGAGAAAATCAGTTCTTTGTATAATTTCATACCTTGTTTGATTTTTTCCTTCAATGCTGTTCCATAAAATGACTCCACAGATTGAAATGCACATACTTTTAAGTGTTATTCGAGCATAATGATGTTTCATATTTAAATCCCTTCTCAGATGATAGCCCCCTTGTCTTTCTGCAAACAGCCTTTGAATAATATCAGGCAGTGTTTTTTTTTTTTTCATTAACTCCCTACATAAATAATGCAGTCCTAAATTCTATCAAGTCTTTAAACTTTAAGGATTGTAATTTTATAAACGAGCTATTGGTATGTCCATGGTATGGCTAACCAATCGTATGGCTCGTTTTTGTAACGTACAGAGTGGTGGGCAGTCAGGGCCAGCAAAGCCTTCTCTGCTGGCCTAAACTTACTCAAAAACGTAAATGTATTTTTTTTCCTTTGGTAAATATTTTTAAATAAAAAAAAATGTTCATTGGTCTATTTTCTTTATATCCTATTATACCCACTTGGCCGCGCTGCTTCCAGTGTTAAAATGCCCAGGTTGGGTGTTATCCAATCAGATTTAAGCTAGCTTGTTTTCAGGCAGATTAAGTCTGCCCTAGGCCTTCAGAATCAATCGAGAAGCCCACTGTCCGCTGTAAGTGAACAGAGACGAGCCAGTTGCGATAGCCAATCAGCTCACGAGTCAGCTTGGCCCGGGCCAGCTAGCTGGCCTCACGCAAAAGTTGACATGAACACATCCTGTGATTGGATAAGCAGTAGTTAGAACTTTTCTAGCGGCACGAAGCAAAATATCAAAACTAAACACAGAGATTTGTATCTATAGGCAGCTGTCGGTGTATTTTTGAACACATGATGGCTGAAAGAGGAGAAGAGACAGACTTGGTTGCAGATTAACTTGCCACACCATTTTCCAGACGGACCTTTCAAGAAAAAATGGATATTGTGAGAACAGGTTGTCCGACTCCAATGCTAGCTGGCTTGTCCCAGCAGGAGAAAGGATTTGTTCGTCATTTTCAGGCAAGCAACTATGAACGGTACCCATGGCTAACAGCTTCAGAGAACCGCTGCAGGTTATTCTGCTGGGAATGCCTGTTGCTCGCATCAGATGGATTTGGTAGCATTAAAGCGCGTTAAAACGTATGCCAGAAACACGACCGGACCATCGGATAGACACGGCTTTCAGCATTAGCCTCCATGTCCATAAAAAAGGATCCACTCATGGACATGAAGTGCACAGATAAACTGTACAGAGCCAATGAGGTTTTCCTGAGGAAAGAAAGTAGGATGGATTTTATTTTCAAATGAGCAGGAGAGGAGGAGATCCATGCTGGACATTTATGTTGGTGAGTAGAAACATTTCATTAGTATTTTTTAATGTTTTGTCATTTTATTTTGTTAATAATGAATGGTAATGAAATAAAACGGCTAAATGAAATTATTCTATGTGTTCTGTTTCTATGCAATTTATATTGTGTATAACGTGGTGTGTGCAGCTGCGCCAACATGTTCAATTGTTTCGCAGTGCAATTTTCTCCAAAACAAATGCAAATAATGTAATGCTTTACTTATTTATTTTATTGTCTCATCTCTTAAACCCATCTTTCATTTTTGAGATTTGACAGTATCCGTGGTCTTAGCTTCCTACTCTCAATTGGGAAAGCGAGTTTGATTTTAAAGGCTCCGGTTATTACGTGTCTTGCCCAGCCACTGGTGTGTGTGTGTGTGTGTGTGTGTGTGTGTGTGTGTGTGTGTGTGTGTGTGTGTGTGTGTGTGTGTGTGTGTGTGTGTGAGAGAGAGAGAGAGAGAGAGGCTTCTCCAGCTGTGATGTCCTATTGATTGTATTTTAAGGTGTATTAATTTAGATTGGACTGAATAGGAAATCACTGAAGGCCCAGGGGTGGAATGCACCACCCGCCAGGTTTTATAGGTATTTCCCCACACTTCAACACATTATGTTAGATTATGTGTACAGTACAGTATATGTGTTGCTTTTCATACATACGTTCATAAATGGAAAACTTTTAAATAATTGGAATAATGAACTGAACTCAATGCACTGATAAGTGGGTTCAACTGTAATGTTTTGTGGACTTCAGCTCTGCGTTCAACACCATCCTCCCTGCTCTGCTCCAGGACAAGCTCTCCATGATCAACGTACCCAACTCCACCTGCAGGTGGATCACTGACTTCCTGACGGACCGTAGGCAGTGCATGCGGCTGGGGAAGAATGTTTCCACCACTAAGACTATTAGCACAGGATCTCTACAGGGCTGTGTACTTTCTCCTCTGCTCTTCTCCCTGTACACAAACTGCTGCACCTCGAGCCATGACTCCGTTAAACTGATCAAGTTTGCGGATGACACCACCCTCATCGGGCTCATCTCTGACGGTGATGAGTCTGCCTACAGGAGGGAGGTGGAACAGGCAGCAACAACCTGGAGCTCAATGCTCAGAAGACAGTGGAGATGATTGTGGACTTCAGGAAAGTCACAGCCCCATCTCTCCCCCTCGTCCTGACGGACACCCCCGTCACCACTGTGGACTCCTTCTGCTTCCTCGGAACCACCATCACACATGACCTTAGGTGGGAGCCATCCATCAGCTCCCTGATCAAAAAGGGCCAGCAGAGGATGTACTTTCTGCGGCAGTTGAAAAAGGCCAAGCTGCCGGCCCAGATGATGGTGCAGTTTTACACGGCCATCATTGAGTCCATTCTCACCTCCTCCATCGCTGTGTGGTACGCTGGAGCCACAGTGAGGGACAAACATAGACTGCAGCGCATTGTGCGCTCTGCTGAGAAGGTGATTGGCTGCAGCCTGCCATCTCTCCAGGACCTGTACGTCTCCAGAACTCGGGGGCGTGCAGGTCGGATAGCAGCTGACCCTTCGCACCCGGGTCACAGACTTTTTGAGCCGCTCCCCTCAGGCAGGAGGTTACGGTCCATCCGGACCAGAACCTCCCGCCATAAGAACAGCTTCTTTCCATCTGCCGTTAGACTTGTGAATAGATTATAAACACACAACCATGCTCGTCTTCTGTACTCGACACAACGTCACGTTATCGGCCATGTTACCATTACCTGCCATTTTTTATAGCTGAAAGTTTTATTCTAGTTTTTTTTAATATTTTATTCTATTTTATTCTATTTTTAATCTTATTATTCATGTTATATGTAGCACATTAGTACCGAAGCAAGTTCCTAGTTTGTGAATTGTTTGTTCACTGACAATGGCAATAAACCTATTCTGATTCTGATTCTGAGATAGGAGTTTGAAGAAAAATAAGAAAAACGGAGAGTCTCTCAGGCAGGAATTTATTAGACTGGACTAGGTTCAGCTTTAATTAAAATAAGTTTTAAATCAAGCATAATACATTGCTTCCAAATATAATAGCGCATTTCAACTCATTTTCAAGCACGGTGCCCAGCTTTACATTTATTGTACTGGATTATTTATTTTACGAAGGATCGTTGAACGTACCATATGTTTGATAAAGCAGCAGCTGCTTAAGCAGAGATCCAGCTGCTGGTCCCACGTGAGAAACAGGATAATGCACAATAGACCACAAAATAAGTCGTTTTTCTCACTTTGAAGTTGTTCAACTTTTAACAGGATCTATTTTATTAATGTTCTACCTCGACGCGATAAAAACGCACGCTAATAAAACGCATACAATCACCCGCAGGAGGCAGTCGACACGCGCTGCCGCGAGTTTTCCGTGTTGCGGAAGAGACATTTTGACCCTCGCTAGTTGCTGTAGCCTCTAGAAAACATGGCTGCTCCCTCTAGTAAGATGTTTCTGTCCTTTGGTCGGATAAATGGTTTTGCTTTCAAACTAAAACCAACAAGCAGCGTCACATACGCTACGGCTTTCTCAGTAAACTCTTCTAATGGGAAGAAAGGTGAGTCTGACTCCACATTAAAAGCAGTTTGTGTGTTGATGCGTGTCAAGCTAATGGCCATGATGTACTTGAGGTGATAACACGACGTTTCTTCTCTGAGCTTATCTCCCCCTACTGAAACCCACAAAAGAATATAACAATGATAAAATAAAATAAACGCCTAAATCCACCTTCAGAGGAGTATTTATCTAAAAATCCATCTTGTAAAGTGAACTGTGTCAGATAAAAAGCGATGAATAAGACTCAGGCAGAAAAAAATAATTCTAATTATTATCTTTGTTTATTAAAAATGCAAATAAATGAAGAGCTTTACGTCTTTGGGTTTTAGACAGATTTCAGTTGTTCCTAACACCTTGGAGAAGCAACCACCCCGTAGGCTGGCTCAGATCACTGTGTGTTTAGGTGCCATCCTAGAAACACTGAGTGATGCTGAGATGAGGGCTCTGTGTGGACCAGACATCACTCTCCTTTCTAGGGATGTCCCATTCCGATATCAGTATCCAAAGTAATTAGTTATCGGCCCAAAAACACAGCATCGGATTATATCGGACTGCATCAAAAATCTCCGATATTAGCATGTGCACATTTTTGCAACCAACGTTTAAAAAAGTCCTTTTTTTCATATTTACTGTTACTGGCTCTTGTTCTCTGATTGAGTAAGTAATGTAACTTGATGAAGCCTTTCATACTATTCACTCTAAAAAATAGGTAAAAATATGTATGATTTGAGCTGATATTGTATCCGATTGATATCGGTATCGGTAAATACTGAAGGCTGCAATATCTGTATCATATCGGAAGTGAACAAGTTGTATTGGGACATTCCTACTTATAATATAAGTAAAGTAGATTGGTGGCAGTATGTCTGGGAGTCATTGTTCTGTGGACACATCAATTATCCTATGTTTTAAACTCCTGATCACCATTTATTAGGGCTGCACAATATTAGAAAAGCACAGTTCTCATTATTACTGTTGCAGTCAGTTGTGATAAATTCACATATTTAATATTTTTTCCCGTCTGCTCTCAACACTCGCCACGATGACAGATAAATGATCTGCAATGTGCTTTAGCAACTCAACCACCTTTATCCTAACTGGATCTGCACTTTCAGGGCAGTGAGAGTGCATCAGGTGGGGCAAAACAACGTAATGGGATGTGGAGTTTTAATTCATGACACTGGAAGTGTAAGGTTTTGCAGTCCTACCTATTTATTGTAATAGTGATCCTGCACATAGGGTTATTGTGATTGTGATACATTTGCATTGATCTTGAGCAAAGATGTAACGCCACACACTGCTACAAACATGCAGGGATCCTCCACCTTGCTTAAAGGGACATTATGGAAGTTTGACAGCCAAAACATGTATAGAAATAATAAATTTCTTCTTCATACATTCTCCTGCAATGCCCTGGTCCTGTAGAATGAGCCCTGGCATTTTTACTCTGATTGCCTGTTTTTCTGTAAAATCACAGAAAAAGAGAGCTGCTCGGGTCGAGCAGGCTGCCTCATGCGCGTTCACGCTCAGGCATAGCCCGTAGCATTTGCTATCCTTAGCTTTAGCAGCAGAGAGTGAGGTAGTGCCAACTCAGCCACTTTATCGCTGTTCCTAATGCCTAGTGATGAACCTAGCTACATTTCTGAGGACGCTTAGCTACTTTCTTCTAGATATTTCCTGCAAATTAGCAACAAAATAGCCATTTTCGCTCCGAACTGTTCTTTGAACATTTTGTCAGGTGTCATCAACGATATAAATGGTACAGATACGAAAGACGTCACTGGTGTTTTAGCTCACCTAGTAAAACGTCGGACTCTCGTGTGAAAGACCCGGGTTCGATTCTGAATGTGAACATAGTTCATTTAGAGTTTCTTTTTTACATTAATGTATATTTTTTTACAGTAGTAAGACGCCCAAATTTTTATTTCAGACTTGCCGAAAGGCATTGAATTCACAGATAACAAAGATGTAGGTTCAACTTTCATTTTGGAACAATTTTTCAAGCAAGGGAAGGGATTGATCCGAGCATGCAGGAGGACTGACCCATCTTAAACCTTTGTCGGCTGTGCTGAAGAGAAAGGTACAGAACCAAATTATTTAATTAGCTGCTCGTTCTCCTGTCCTCCGGGTCACACACACACACACACACACACACACACACACACACACACACACACACACACACACACACACACACACACACACACACACACACACACACACACACACAGGACTGTCTCAGCTGTTATTTTTGTTAAGGAGTGTGCACGTACAGCATGCGCGCCTCGTGCACGAGCCTACTATTGAAGCTGCTGTTACGCTTTTTGCCTGAGGGGGCAATCGCGAGCATAAAAATTCAAAACTCCATAAAGTCCCTTTAAACAAATGCCTGCAGAGTTTTTATTATTTTTTGCAGAGGTTTGACCACTTAAGGCCAGACTTTAGAGTATGACTATTCATCTACTAGTTCAAACTTCCCTATAGTTGTTTCAGTTGCAGTCAGTTGTGATCATAAGTGTTTGTCTGATATATTAATAGTATGTATAGTCTGATATAATTAGTCACTCTTTTTCAGAGCTTGTGTTTACCGTAAATGTAGGGCTGGGCGATATGGCCTAAAATCAATATCACAATATATTGAGGATTTCACCTCGATAACGATAAATGGACGATAAAAATGGAATTCACAATATCAACTTCCGTACTATTGAGGTTTCTTTTTTAAAATGTTTCTCAAATTTTTTATTCTCCCTGTGTCTTATTGATTTTTAGCTGTTAGTTTTGGGAATTTTGTTGTATTTCCTTTTTATCTTTTATCTGTGATCGACATGATTGTATAACGCCGGTTTAATTAACTAACATTTTTAGTGTACAGCGCCTTGTTTGGTTGTAATGCCTTGTGAATGCGCTTTATGAATAAAATTGGATTGGATTGGATTATTACAGTCATGTCTCCATATACAATATATGATATCCACAAGCACGTGAGGATGTGTTTTGGTTGCTAACAGGCACCAGAATTAAAATAAATAATTAAACAAGTATGAACTCTAATGTGATATCTTCATCTATCGTCACCCGTGAGCTACACATGTAGGGACATCTGTCCGACTTAAATGGCGTCTTTCAGCCACTCCCCCTGCCGCGTCCATCTGCTCTCGTCTGTTTTCCAGGCGAGGCGCAGCTCAACTCGAACACGGCCAAGGTTACAACTTCTTAAAGGGACATGAACGTTGCCAACCGACACACATCTTTTCATTTTTGTATCCTCAAATTTATTGACACGGGACAAATTATCACGATAAGAGTCAGAAATTTCGATAACGATAACTTATCGATTTATTGCCCAGCCCTACTTAAATGTTTATATTGCATGTTTTCTATACATTTAGAGGGAGACAATGATCATGAATGTTAAATTAAGTTAAATAATTCTTCTAAATCTTTTGTACGTCCGTTCTGTGCAATCCATCAAATTCCAGTGTTTGGTTATTTTCTAAACCCAGAGTATTGATTTGTTTTTAGCTTTTTAGCTGACAAGTTTCGGCTAACACTGTAGCCATCCTCGGAGCACCACCGATATGGATGTCGATGACATCATCACATCGGTGCATCACTAATAAAATGTATCTGTGTGATGAATCTGAAGTTTTGTCTTTTTTAGGCTTTCCAGAAAGAAGCGGCAAAGGTTCCTTTGGCAGACGAGCCAAAAGAGAAGTGAGTGTAAAGGTTCAGCGAGCCGTTTTTATCTTCTGCTGAAGCACGATGAACTTTTTAAGAGACCACAGATTAGTGCTGGTGATGTTATGCAATTATGTGATACTTGAAAACGGCATTAAAAACATTTAGTGATAAAACTGTGTTTGTTGAATCAGCCGGGGAAGCCCAGGACGGAGAAGATGCCGCTGGATCAGGACTGGACTTCGGTTTATCCAGCAGCAACCCCCTTCAGGGCAAACTCCGTCCCTCTTCCTGTGAGGATGGGCTACCCTGTGAGGGGAGGAGTTCCCCCAGAGAAGAAGGGCAACTTGGAGCTAATAAAGGTCAGACCTCAGGACCTAGAGAGGACCACAGACAAAATAGTGTTAGCAGCAATTCTGAATTCAACAAGATTTTCTTCTTATTTGAGGAGTTTTTTGGATTAGCAGCCTAAAACATTCTGCACCAGCTGAGTTGATAGTCTCTGGTTAGTGCTCTTTCAGTCCTAATGCATCTCTTTATGCTTTGCTGCGTGGCTCTCGTGGCTCGGTCTCTGCTCCCGGATTACTGAGCGGCTCTGTCCAAACACCAGCTGCTCCATCTGGACTCCAGCCACCTGCAGATCCACCACTTACACCCAGCTGGACCTCTGCCGGGAGGCCTGGCCATATAGATTTCACCCTCTTGGCCAGCTTTGGGGAGCTAGACTGCTGGTCATTATTTTTATTTACGACTAAAAAAATTAATCTTGAAAATATACATCGTAGATGAGCTATATTCCAGATTTGTGCCAATGAGAGCCATGGAAATTTTATTATTTACTTTGGAAGATCATCTCATGTCCTTTAACTCAAAGAATTACGATATATTCTGAATTATTTCATAATTATTACATAATTATAACTGAACCACGTCAACAGGAAGGAGCGTCTTGTTGGAGGAGTGTTGCAGCGATCGATTCGTTTCTACTGACAACAAGTTAATCAACTAACTGATGCGGTTAATAGTTTTTGTATTTCTGGTAATGATGAGTTAAATATGACTAACATGGATGTTAATCTGTCATACATTAAACTCCGATGCAGAGAGCCTTTGCTAATCCCGGGGGGGGGATGGTTGAAACATGTGCAGATCCATCCCAGATACATGTGTGAAAGGGCAAAGGGCAGGCCATGGTAATGAAGTAACCACTACATGTTTACATTTCTGTGACAAAGTGAAAAACCTGCTGCTGTTTTAGGTGATTTACAGCATGTGAGCTGTTCTGAGCCCATCTGTGGGTTCATTAGCTTTATTTGGTCTGATGAGTTTTCCTAACGATGCTAATGGATCAGAGCAGGTTCTGTCTGAGGCTCAAACGCTGATGGGAACTCGTATTCTTCGTCTCTCACCTGCTGAAATAAAGGAGTCATGTTTTTATTCTTTTATTCCCCGAAACTGATTTTTGTGGGATTAAAATGAATAAAGTTTAGCTTCTGTAGATATTTTCTCCTAAACAAACGATCAAGTGTCAGCTTTACAGTAAATTACAGACGTGGAGCCGATTCCTTCTGCTCAGGTTGTGATTTCATCTGAACATCTCAAGGTTTATCATGTCTGGGTTACTTTTTGTTTCAGATCCCAAACTTTCTCCATCTGACGCCGGCAGCCATCAGGAAGCACTGTGAAGCTCTGAAACGTAAACACTCGGCTTGGCTGGTGAACATTTTGGGATTAGATTCTTAACTTTTACTGATACAAAGACATCCTCCTGTTTTTAGCTTTCTGTACAGAGTGGCCCTCAGCCTTGGACTCCGGTGACAAATGCGACGAGCTTTTTCCCGTCAAAATAGAAAGCTCAGACTTTGTTTCTGCTGGCCCGTCGGTCAGAAACCCTGCAGCTCGGGTGGTTCACCTCAGAGTAAGTGATGTCATCGTGGTGTCGACCTGTCGGAGGAATCTGTTCTTGTGGTTTTGTGATTGTTGCAGCGACCCTTTCAAACTGGTGTGATATAAGTAGAATATGATATTCTTTTATTTTCCCTCAGTAGGAAAATGGCAGCGTTACTGCAGCGATCACATTCACAACAGGAGCAAAAAGGAGAGTAAAAAATAAGGAATAATTGGAAATTAAGAGTACAATACAAGATAAGAGCATAGAAATACTTCAGATTCAAAAATAATCAGTATATAAAATACTTACACAAGCATTTACATATATATTTACAAAACCTGCTGTGTGAGTGCCAGTCTAAAGGTAATCATAACACATCTATAATTAGTGTTGAGACAAATTTCAATCTTTTGACAAAAAAGTCTAAAATAATTTTCTAAATAAAGTTGAAATGTTGAAGAAAAAATTCAAACCTAGTTTGTTAAAGTTTTTTATTTTATTTTTTTTTAGATTAAAAAGAATACAAAGCCATCACAAAGCCAAGACCTACAATGCCCATAATGCCTTGTGCAAATGAACCATGGTGACTTATATATATATATATATATATATATATATATATAATCTTGTAGCTCATCCACACTGACGCACGTCTGGATTCTTAGATGCTCATAATAATAATAATAATAATAATAATAATAAATTCCCATCAGAAACAGCCATGCTCAGGAGCACAACGTGGTCCACGTGCCCAGATTCATCTGGAAACTGTCTTTCTGCTACTTTATTCTGAAAACTTCCTCCTTTTTTACCTTTCTTCTGAGGCACCCTGATACACTCAGAGTGACCTAAACAGATTTTAGTGATGCTGTTTAATAGCAGATTTGATCTTCTGTTGTTGGATTGTCTACTCCTTTAGACAGGTTAAACCTGGAGGGGGTCCCATGATTGGTCTAATAATTTAATAGAAACATGCTAATGAAGAGGCCAAACATTAAATATGAGTCATTCATAGATGAACTCCCGAGCACCTTAGCTGCATGTTGATTACGGATCCGAGATTTCTGTAGTGGCTGAAAATCTGTATCTGATACAGCAAACGAGTCCAGAGAAAAAGCACTTCTACTGTGTTTTGTCCTGCTGAGGAGTGTTATTGTTGCCATTAGTCACCACCCATCTGCTGCCCTGACACATTGCCTTAGATTAAACTAGCTAGGTAGGGATTAGATATTAATTCAGGTAGATTAGAATGGAAGCTTGGAGAGCAAATCTCACGGACTGTAAATCCTCAACAAGTGGGCCGAGTCAAAACTAACTTTTAGGTGAACAGAGCGTGTCTTGTAGCGATGCTGAATGGAGGTTTCTTTACACGTGCTGAAGGCAGCAGCTGCTGAGGCCCACCACTTCACCGTCTCTGTGGATGTTTGTTTACTCAGAACCACGTGACCCATGCGCTGGGTTACTACATACATGCGGCTCAAACCGGTGGGGGACAGACACGAAGAAAACACTGTAAGAGGTGTAATCTGTTCCAGCTCCCATCCTTTACCGGGTTTAGTCAGCAAACGTTCCATTACAAATAAAAGTGCTTTTGAAGCACATTTATTCCTAGATCTTAGACCAGTGGTCCTCAAATGGCGGCCCGCGGGCCACGTCCGGCCCGTGAGCCCTCTCTGTGGCCCCCAAACCCCGCGCCCACCCCCGACAGCTGACCGGGAGGTGTAGGATAGATAGAGCTGCGGAAAATAATCAAATAATCAATGCGTGAGTTGCGGGCATAAACCATTCTGCGTCATAGAAGAGGACCATAATCAGTTATAGTGGAATGTGGTTTTGTTATTTTAACGGTGGCACCAGCGCAGCATCCACATCTGTCAGAGCGGTGTTCTCCTCACTTATCAGGTAGGAAACTTTGGGCTGCCTTTATGTGGTACTGCAGGGCTGAGCGCTAGAGTTGTAACCTGAGACCGAACCCGAACCGAATCAGCCCGATCGGTTCTGTTGGATTTGGGCCGTGAATTATGTTATTTGAGCGGGTTGTCACACGGCGCGCTCCGCTCGATCAGCGACTGAGGGAGGGAGGGAGGAGGAGAGGAGAGAGAGAGAGAGAGAGGGGGGGGGGGGGATCGGAGGACACTCCTCCAAACACGTATATTATTTTCATGTTAATTATTATTTCTCCTGAAATTCAGCTGTAAGAGAAATTGGGAGGACGCTTTGGCACATTTTAGGTTACAGGAGGTCTTGTCTCCTGTCTGCTCCTCCAGAGACAGCATGGGCATGAGGGTTACATGGTGAGGGTCACACTGGACAGGTTAGTGCAGTCACACAGCCGAGCTGGAGGGGGACCCCTTCTGGGTCTTTTTTGTGAGTGGCCCTCGGACCATTATGAGTGAGGACCCTTGTCTTAGACGATATTCAGTACAGGTTAGAACATAACAGCATCGCATCTTTAGGTAAACGTGAATAATCCCATTTCTGATCATCTCATGTCTCAGTTGAAGCTGTCCAGTTTGAAGCTGGATGATCACGCATGGAAGAAAATGCTCAAACTTGTTGGGGGCCGCTACTGCAAAGACTCGGATATCCTCACCATCACGGCAGACAGGTAAACACTCCCACTGAAAACGAAGGACTAAACCAGACTAAATGTTTATGAAACTTTGTGTTTCTCCCTCCTTCCTGGCAGCTGCCCTCTGAGACGGCAGAACTACGACTACGCCATGTACCTGCTAACGGTTCTTTACCACGAGTCCTGGGTGAGTTTGTCTTTGCTCTACTGTGTGACCCGAACAGCTCCGTGATGACCCGAGGCTAGAACCCGTGTTCTACCTGTACCTCGTCTCTAAATGTGTGGTTTGTTGGAACACTTGTGACTAAATTCTCTGACCTTCTGTTGTCTTCCATCCACTCGCCTAAAGACCAGCTGCTCACTGGCATTACTTTTACCCACAATGCTCTGCTGTCACTTTCAGTGTGTTCTCACTTTGGTTTCAGATCAGATGTGTCATGTAGACACTGAGGCCTAATCCACACGTAGCCGGGGTTTTTTAAAAACGAATATCCGCCCCTCCAAAAACTTGCATCCACACCACCTCGTTTAAAAAAAAAACTCTGTCCACACGTACCCGGATAAATACGTTGTTAAGGACATGCCAGACCTGTAGGCGGCAGTACTTCCCCGTTCTTAACCTCGTCCTTCGTCTGTGGTCTTCCGCAAAGAGCAGTAACTCCGCTTGCAAAAACAAACAAGCAAAAAGCGCTTGGACAATTGACAAAGCGAGCGCAGCTCTGAGGGCTTCCATGATGCCGGCTAGTGTAAACACAGGTCGCACACGTGATGTCAGCATTTTTTTGTCGCGGAAAGTGACGTTGCGGACCTTAAAACTCCGGTTTGTCTGTCCACACGCAGACACCCAAAATGGAGAAAACGCAGATCTTCACTTTGGCCGGAGTTTTTAAAAAGATCCGTTTTTGTGTGGATGACAGGCCAAAACGTAGAAAAATATCTACGTTTTGGCAGATCCCCGGCTACGTGTGGACAGGGCCTTAGTTCGTGCTCTGGACTGTAACGTTTTTTAGCCCGTGCTCAACTGGAACAGCTGGCGTTAGCTGCATTAACATTGCTTTAGCAGAAGGTTCCCGTTCGGGTGATGCATCATCACAAGATTGATGAATATTCCCACGATGCTGCTAAAAGCAACACAGCACAGCTTCTGTCGCCCCAAACATCATCATTACTAGAGTGCTGCAGGTCGGTTGGCTCCGTTGTAGCCTCCGCAGGTCCACCATTGGCCCAAACTATTTAAGTCAGACCAATGGCAACACTCTGTTTGTACGGAGACGTTGGGCAGGCCTGGCAACATGACTGAAGAGCTGTGATGGAGAAAAACTTCAAAGATGGCATCGGCTCACGAACGTATCGACTTTGGATGGTTTAGACTTTTCTTTGCGACGTGAGCAGATGGAGGCGCTGATGTCATTTATTTCAAAACATGACGCATTGTCTTCTTCGTCTTTGTCTGCAGTGGTGCATGGCAGACCGCCCTGTTGACCAATGTACGCGGCCGTGAATTCGTCATGTTGTTTGTTACTCTAAATAGCCCTAGCACTAGCACGCAGAGACGCACAATGAGAGACCAGAAAAAATCAAAATAATGAAATTAGAAAAATAATGTAATAATAAAAACATGCATTTGATACGGCTCCATTGGTTTGGCATTAAAATATGTATAAAACCAGATGCTGGCCTAGAGGCGGATGTTGTAGAAAATTGCATAAGCTGTTGTGTTAATTAATTAATTGTTTCAGTTAGCTAACTAGCCAAGATTTCCATGGCGTGTGTATCTGGGTGTGACGCTGTTCCTCTTAGCAGCTGAATTCTTCCCTGTCCGTCTTGCTCGGTGACCTGAGAGACTAGATCCATTAGAGAGGTATCGGAGTCGAATGGGCAGAAGGTTGGCAAACAGCAGCATTGTCCAGTTGACATTTCCCCACAGATGAGTGGAAAACGCGCTCCCCTATCAGGTGTTGACCCTGATACTCATTGACATTAAGGAACTGTGCCGCAGCGCAGGTGTTTGCCACCAGGTCATTAGACCCCGGTGCCACTAATCTGCAGCCGGCCACATAGAAGAGACTCCCCTTGTTGTGTAACATCTGCCTTCGGGAGCTCTTCCTGGCCTCATTAAAGGGAAACCTGTGGGTTGTGAAGAGGCGTTTGAGTCAGGAAGCAGGACACTGTCCGCTGCCCTTTTGGACACATAATGGAAGGCACAGTGCTCGTCCAGCAGGCTTCGGGAAGACGTGAGAGTGGAGCAGTGATGGGGTTGTAACGCTAGCCCACAAAGAGGCTGATTGTTAGCAGCCACTCAGGTGATGGTATCTCCTCACTTGGAGAGACCGACCGTAGCTGCTGATTCCAGAGTGTGTTAATCCAGACCGTTCTGTAAGGAGCATTCTCATCACTGCTGTTCAGCACCTGAAGAAGCATTTGTTTAGAAGGTAAACAAGCTCAGGTCAGGGCCACAGGTGGCCTTTCGTCTCCTGGAGTAACCTCCTTGCTGGTGGTAAACAAAAAGCTCGTCGTCTCTAAATCTGGATCTGATTCAGGCTGAATTTAACGAGTCGTGTTTGCAGTAAGGATACCTGAAACACCTGGATCGAAGCACAACTGATGCCTGCTCCACTTTAAGCTGCTGAATAAAGGATCTGATTGTTTTCCTAGAAATGTGTTAACAGCTGGTCAGGAGGCACACGGAGAGCTACGTACGGAGGAATATGTTAGAGGAGGATCAAAAGATGCGTTGATGGATTAAACTAATCATTTGTGTCTGCTGCCAGGGGCAGTGTAACCTAACGGTTTTGTTGCTACACAACCTAGCACATTCCAACAGGGACGAGCTCAGTCTTCCGTCCGACTCGTTACGTTCTCTGTTGTTCAGAAAATCGAGACCTGGGAGGCCGAGAAGACCAGGGCAGACATGGAGGAGTATATCTGGGAGGACAGCCCGTCGCAGAAGAACCTTCTGGACACGCTGCTCCGAGCAAAAGTGGCTGGAGCGGGAGGTGGCGAGGAGGTGAGGGAGCAGCTGCTGGAAAGACGAGAGGTTCAGGAGTACAAGGACTCGGTCGTGAGGCTGAAGAACGAAGAGAATGAGAGCAGCTTGACACAGTACAAGGAGGCCGTTCGAAAAGTACTCAACCTGTAATGCTCCAAATGTGCAGAAACGTGCTTTTTACATGCAGTTAACGACCCCTTCATGGTATCATGTAAAATTAGCTTTCAGCTTGGAGTCGGTGTTTGTTTTCCTAAATAAATCTGTCGTAGCAGGTGTGTTGTTAATGAAAAGTCTTTTGCAGATGTGTGCCCCTGGTTAAAGTTTCCACACGACAAAAGCTTTGGCTGCAGGCCGGTGACAGGATGCAGTCAGCAGCAGGCAGTTTGAACTGGAGCTGATCTGTAGGTCAGAGGCCAGCTAACGATCAGGAGATGAGCAGCGTGCTTTAATAATGGAAGCAAAAAGGGATGAAAACTCGGTCTGTCAACACAGAATATCTGAGCCACCCATGGGTTGTTGAGGTAAATAGCTCCTAATGGTCATGCTGACAAATGCCCGCTTCTTACTTCAGTTTTTTTAATCTAAATGATTAAATCCATAATTTACAGCGAAGCAACACAAAGCCTTGTTTGTCTTACTAAAATAAACCAATATTTAAAAGTTCTTAATTGTGGATTTCGTCATTTAAAATGATGAAAGATGAGAAATGTCAGTTCCAACCTCCTCTTCTGCTTTCATCCTAACTTTCAGGAGTTCTCTCTGACCAGCGCGTACTTTATCAGGCGCATGGAGCCCTTCTTCCCCCTCCATGATGTTCGATAGCGTCCCATCCTCTTCCTCTGACCCCTCCAGGTGGCCACCAGTAGGATGGAACAGCAGCAGCTCAGCAGGACCGTGACACAGATGGCCACCACCACCAGAATGGTGTGGGCGGCTATGTGCCACCCGGGTCCCAGCTCTGTTCCGGTGTTCCCTGGGTTGACTCCCTGACTTCCATCACTCAAGTCAGTCTGGTTCCACGCAAGGCTGCTCTCCGTGCTGCTGGGGGGTTGTGTGCGGACGTCTGACAGGGGTTTCAGGGTGAAAGGGTCAGGAGTCGTCTCTGTGTCGTGTTGACCAACAGAAGCATCGGCGTTGAAGGAAGGTGTGGTGAAGTCCGACTCTGTGGATGAGGAAGCGGAAGGCGGGTCTGTTTGTACATCAGCATCAGTTGCTGGAGTCGGTGATGGATTTTCAGAGGAAGAAGTCGTTAAAGAAGCTGATGAGAGCTGACGGGTGCTCTGCTGTGGCGTGGTGGTGGTGGTGGGCTCATCACCCGCTGGAGTCGAACGCCTAACCGGGCGTGTTGAGGTGAGAGGCGGCTTGTCGGGTGGAGGCGGGTGGATGAACTGCCTCTTGTCCGACTGCAGCGGATCGGAGGCATTCACTCGGCCGTAGTGGCTGGGCAACACTCGGACGTTAGACGTGAAGTATTTCCCGAACACCAACAGATCTGGATCCACACCTAAAACGAGACGGCGATCAGCTTCTGCTCTGGCTTTTAAACGGGTCTGTTAGCCTAAACCAGCGTTAGATGAAAGGTCTTTAGTGGACAGTCTGTAGATCCACAAGAAAAAATAGGAATAGGAATGAAAACTATTTTTTACTGAATCCTTTCCTTTTCACACCAATACAAAAGCAATGAAACGGTTCAGCACCTGTTATTCGTTTAGAGCAATAAAGGTTAAAACTGTGAGACACCAGTCCAAAAGCTGAACTGTTCTAACATCACACTGTTTTTAAAGCGTTTGGTTTGGGGTATTTTAAGCATGATTTAATAAGATTCCCTGATTTCTGAGTTGATTGTTTTCTAGTGTTCATCAACCTGTATTTTAGGCCTGGAAAAGATTGTTTTGTGCTTTGCGTGTCTACTGCTTCTATTTCTAAGTACAAACATGCAATCACCATAAGGAGGAGACCCTAAAACCTGCTGATTAATAATAATAATAATAATAATACATTTTATTTCAAAGCGCCTTTCAGGACACCCAAGGTCACTTTACACAAAACACGTAATAAAATACAATAAAACAATAATAAAACCCAAAGAAGAAAAAACAGAGAGAAACATTTCAATAAAATCAGAGGTTGTAGGCAGATTTAAACATATGTGTTTTGAGTTTTGATTGGAAAAGGGTAAAACTGTCGATGTTCCTGATGTCTGGGGGAAGTGAGTTCCAGAGTCGAGGAGCAGAGCGGCTGAAAGCTCTGCTCCCCATGGTAGCGAGACGGGCAGAAGGAACTGCAAGATGGATGGAAGAAGAAGATCTGAGTGAACGGGACGGGGTGTGAATACTTATAAGGTCTGAGATATATGGAGGAGAGAGGTTGTGGATTGCTTTGAAGGTATGGAGGAGAATTTTGAAGATGGACCTGAATTTAACTGGGAGCCAGTGGAGCTGCTGGAGAACCGGCGTGATGTGGTGAAAGGAAGGGGTTCTGGTGATAATACGGGCTGCTGAATTCTGGACCAGTTGCAGTTTATGAAGGAGTTTGTTGGGGAGACCATAAAGAAGTGAATTGCAATAGTCGAGACGGGAGGTGACGAGGCTGTGGACGAGAATGGCGGCAGTGTGAGGGGTCAGTGAGGGACGAAGACGGTTTATGGAACGTAGATGGAAGTATGCTGACCGAATTAAGTTATTAATGTGAGCCTGAAAAGAAAGGGAGCTGTCGAGAATGACACCCAGACTCTTGACATGAGGTGAGGGGGAGACTGTGGCGCTGTCAATAGTTAAAGAAAAGCTGTCAGATGTTGAGAGGGTGGAGTTAGTGCCAACTAGAAGAAGTTCAGTTTTATTGCCGTTGAGTTTGAGGAAATTAGAGGTGAACCATGATTTGATTTCAGAGAGGCAGAGTGTAAGGGAGGATGGTGGGAGAGTTGAGTTGGGCTTACTGGAAATGTAGAGCTGGGTGTCATCTGCAAAGCAGTGAAACTGGATATTGAATTTGCGGAAGATTTTGCCGATAGGGAGGAGATATACTATGAAGAGGAGGGGCCCCAGGACAGAGCCCTGGGGCACACCTGACTTGACTGGGGAGGGTTCTGAGGTAAAGGATTTTAACTGGATGAACTGAGTGCGGCCAGTAAGGTAAGATTGAAACCAGCGGAGGGGGGTGTGAGTGATGCCTAAGGAATAGAGTCTATTAAGGAGGATGGGATGAGAAATGGTGTCAAAGGCCGCACTCAGATCGAGGAGAATAAGAATAGAGATTAAACCAGAATCAGCAGCAATGAGTAGGTCGTTAGTGATCTTGATGAGAGCTGTTTCTGTGCTGTGGTGGGGACGGAAGCCAGACTGAAACTGTTCATAAAGGTTATTGCGGGTGAGATGTGAATGGAGCTGAGATGCAACAGTTTTCTCAAGGACTTTGGAAATGAAGGGAAGATGGGAAATGGGACGGAGGTTATTGAAATCATTGGGATCTAAACCAGGTTTTTTAAGAATAGGGCTGACTGAAGCGGATTTGAATAGGGATGGGACCGTACCAGAGGATAGTGAGGAATGAATAATGGCTGTTATAAAAGGGAGCAGAGAAGAAAGGCAGGATTTAACTAAAACAGATTAAGGTGCCTCAAAGATCGACGTCTGACTTCTTCAAAGTAGATGTGCAATAAAAAGTTTCAAAGAATCTGAAAGTTAAAAAACAAACAGGGTTTAACATCCATGTTACTGAAAGTAAAATTAAATATTATTATTACTCATTTTATTTGAACTTATCTGGTGATAAGTTTGGCAAGTGTTTCATATTTATGATGAGGTCATGCTGCAGCATTTTCCACTCAGGGCGTGTTTCAGCTTGAGCACACCATCAGACACTTGACAGATTTGAACAGTTTTGCTCTCAGATGTAGTGAAGTTTAGAATAAAGCTGGACAAAGAGGGTTTGGTTTCCTTTACCGTTGGTGATGTTGTAGAGAACAACGTTGCCTCTGTGGCTCAGGATGCAGCTCTCCAGTGTGGGACAGTGGAGGTGGAAGCAGTTCGCATTCTCTTGAAAGGTATCATAATGAAATATAGCCAGATTACAGGAAACTAGAATAAAAAGACAACTATGTTAGTATAAAAGCGCACAGATAACGCTCCTCGTGAAGAAAGAATAAAGGGACCTACAGTTTCTCGAGAGGCAACAGGTGCGGCTGCATTTCAGCGCAGTCTCCTCCTGATAGGACCTCAGAAGCTGAGCTCCTCTCCTCTGAGATTCCTCAATGTTGATGAAAATCCCTGGAAACCGACGGATCCAGCAGTTCTTGTAATAAGTGGTCGGTGAGCACCTCGACTCGGAGTGGCACACCAGACTCAGAACCGCGAGGAAACCCCATGAGGCGTTCATGGCGCGTAATGTAAGTCACTCCATGGTAAATCACAGCCTGGGGGGCAAAGCAGCCACATATTTTGGAGAAGGTGAAAGCTCCGAGCATACGGGCGTGGAGCGGAGCCAGTGGTCTGCTGCGTCTCCAGCAACCGGTCCGCCTGCAGGTGGATCACATGTGCGTGCACTGGGGAGGTGGAGACCCAGCCGTGCGTAAAGTGGCTGTTAGGGGAGAGCGCACTACCTCACAACACATCCCTGCCATTACAGGCCTTTAAAATGGGTTTGATTCAAACTGCATCGAGCACCCATTGTAAAATAATACTTTAACATAAATTCGGAAACATTTAGCTTTTTAACGTCCCCGTTTCCACAAACCAATTAAACTCGTTTCAGGGTGCAGCCATTTTAATTTTAAACGTTTAGAGATCAAATCTGAATAATATAGCAAGAATACTTATGGATTAAATCAGTTAAACTTAAAATAAAAAATACTTATTTTTTAAAATATAAATGTGGTATTTCCTGTTAAATAATTAGTTATTTGTAACTAGTAATATTGAAATAGCTTACATGTATAAAAACAGAAGAGGTCTGGTCTCAGAGATGATCAGATCGTGTGATATGTTATTTCTGCACACTGTTAAACATCAATACACTGAAAAAAAGGAGTTGACCAAAAAAAGTAAACAAATTACAAGTACATTTCCCATGTCATTTCATCACATAAAGTCGTTAAAATGTCCACTTTCAAAGTAATCCGTTATTTTGTTTATGTTTATTTGTTGATCTATTTTAACTCATTAACTGCCAGCCGTGTCCTGATCAGAAAAGCCCTTTGCTGCCAGCATTTTTCAGCATTTTCACTGTTTTTTTGAAGAGTCAGAATGTTGCGATGATGTCAACGCCAAAACAACCGAAACAAAAACTAGACTCACCTCTTACATCAGGAAGACTCCGCGTGATTTGAGCATTATGCATTCTTTCATAACCCGTTGTGGAATTGTGATTGGCAGAAGCTTTTCCGGTTTGCGCCTCACTTTTTATACAGCAGCAGCCCAAAACGATCTCCTAACACATGGGTTTTCTGCTTCCTGATCACGTGACGTGTGGCGTACGTGGATAAAGATCAGCTCTAGAGCTGGGTTGTTTGTTCTCACGGTGCGGAGGCTTGTTCCAACGCCCACACAGTAAAAAAAAATGCAAATGTTGATTTTTGCCATCAGTGGCAGTGAATGAGTTAGTCAATAACATTTGGGGTTTTACAAATGTTAGTGAAACCTTACATTAAATTTTTGTCAGTGATAGGGCCAAGAATCTTTCTGTGTGCATGCATGCAGTTTCCTTCTTTTTCCTTCTTCAGACCAAAATGATCACAAGTGACACGCTGGGGATTTGCTGACTTCTAGCAAATTCTTTAAAAGTCCTAAAATGAGATGTGCTTTTATACATCTTAGTTTAATCTTACATAAAAGTTTACCGGGTGTTTACTGGAGCCAAGAATCAAGTTTTCGAGTGTAGATAAAACTATCTGACATGTTAGATCTTTTCACCTTGCTTTTATAGGCTGCCTCCGTTTTTGAAACCTGTCCTATTTACATTCTGAAATTTTGATTTAACGTTATGAATGTAGATTTAATTCAGAATATTTTCATTTTAATACTATTTTTGTTGTCAAATGTTGCAGCTGAAAGCTAATCTGTTCAAGCTGGTGTCTTATTTATCCTCATCTTCCTCACTGCTTCAGTGTTTCTGTCATTTCTGTATTTTGGGGGGTTCATGTGTTTACCTTTTTATTCAGATCTTATTTAGTCATTTCATTTTTATTTGTATTGTTCTTGTGATTTTTATCTTGAGAGGTGCTATAAAACATTTTATTGACTGATGAAAGTGTTCGTTGTTTACAGCATTTTAGATGTTAGCTCTGTATAGCATTACAGGGGAAGAGCTAATTCCATCAGCCTGAACCTTCAGGAATCTGTTCCCCAATCCAAATGATAGACACATATTTATAAAAAAAAGTCTTACTTTTTAGTTTACAAATACCTCTTATGAGAACTTAATACTTCTGAAATAATGGAGGTGTTCACTACAGTGGATAGTTGCAGGTAACACATTCTATCAAGAGGATGCTGGTATAAATTGCCTCCCTATCCAGATCAAAGACAATGAATGATGTGTTTAGCTCACAAACACATCTTATGCTGACAAGCTACTCCTGAAATTATGGTGTTGGATTTTAGTACAGTATAGTTGGAGTAGGAACAGAAGCAGGATGCAGGGTGTAACGACACTTGTCTGATCCCGTTCTTGCCCTCAACAGAGCCCATCCACCCCTGAGTGTCCCCACAGGTTCCCTAATGGTCCTAGAGCCACTAAACACATGTCGACGAGTTGGACCAACTCCCATACCCTCCTAACTTAGCAAACACTTTTAAATTTATCAAAAATTCAGCTGCTTTAGATGTTAGGTGTTTGCTTTGCTAGACAAAATCACACTATTCAAGAGTCAATTGACACAATTGTCGCAATTAGTCTGAAATCTTTTAGAATAGATTTTTCAAAATCCAATCTTTCTAAGCCAACGAGACACAAATGAGTCTTTTTTCCCCCAGTTTGTGATTAGATTCTCTTCTTTCCTTTTCCCATTGTAGGCCTGTCTCCCCGTCACACTGCCACGTTCTCGGTTTTCTCTCTGAACTGAGAACGTCTGTTGGGATAAGGAGCTTGTGAGGTGAAGGAGATGTGGGCCAACTGGGAACCTAATCTGCTTTGAACTGAACTTATTTTAGGAACTAAAAGAATTGAATACGTATAGCTCACATAGCAGATTCAAAATGAATCTAATGTCTGAATAAATGCCAACCTCTGCTGTAACTTTTTATGGTAACAATTTAGTGAAATACGAAGAGACGGACCATTCCAAAACTTCCTCTTTGATTTAAATCTACTGTCTCAAATTCGAGCTAAATGTATTTTCAATATGTTATTTAAAAAAGCCTCAACTTGATGCATCAAGCTAAGAGCTCACTAGAATTAAAGACTGCAATAATATATATACACCACTAGATGGCAGCAGCTAACCCAAAATAACACCAGCTATGTTTAAGAGAGACACCAACTAATAAAAGAAAATAAGTTTTACAGGTTAAGGATCAGATTGTTGCAATTGTTATTTTCAGAAAAGACAAAATAAGTAATTATGGTTTTGGCTCCAGGATCTAGAGAATATAGAAATGGTACGTCATAATTTTTACAACAAATAATGAATGAATGAATGACTGAATGATCAATTTATTCAGTCAGTCATCTTAAAGGAGACATAACATGCTTTTAAGTTATTCCTTTTTACATCTAAATCCTTCAGTTGGGGGTCTAACTACAGTGGAACTGCAGTTCTTTGGTCTGATTTCCTCATTATTGTTGCTCTACAGACCCTCATCTACCCCTGTTCTGAGGAGAGTCTTGAGAACGAGCCGTTTTTGGGTACTGTCTCTTTAAACTGGAGGAGGAGCTGTAAACTCCGCCCCCCTCCATAGTGCAGACCTGTACTCTCCTCCCCCAGCCGGACTTTGTAGTTCTATAGAGAAATCATTATTTAGCATAGCAGATGTAGCATAGCATATTAGCATTTTTAAAACATGTGGGGAGAGTAGTTCATCATGCTGTTTCAAGGCTGCTAACTCTCTCATGCATTTGTCTGTAGTCACTCACACACACCCGTCACGGCCGACGGAGGAACAAGTGAGCAGGCACCTGCGCGCACACACACACACATCCGTCACGGCCGACGGGACAAGCGAGCAGGCACGCGCACGCGCACACACACAAGGAATGCTGCTTGCTTATTTATTTCTATAAAATGTTTTAAAAATGATACAGCTCATTAAAACACCATTAAAATATATTTTATTAAGCTCTCTATCTATATATATACAAACATATAATTATAAATAATTTTATAAGTAGTCTTATTTAATATTGGGTGTCTTAATGGCTGAAAATGGATAAAAAGCAGTTACATTTTAATTTAAAGATTTGAGATTCTAGTCAAAAATAAAGAACATTCCTCCAAATGTTCTTTAATGTGATTATAATTCTAATGCTTAGAACTTTGTTTTTATTGTCTGCAATGTGTAGCCTATATCTTTATTAAATATGCATTTAGCTGTAACGTGGTAATTCTCTCTAATGTGTACACAGAGGTGGACATCAGTGCTGCAGTGAAATTCCCAAGATCAGTCTGCTTTGCTAACAAATATAGTTAAATCTTACCTGCATTCTAAATAAATACCGTTAGGTGGAAACATCAGTAGGCATTGAGTTATTGATACAATCCCTAACAGCCAGAATGGAAGAAGAGCATGCTGGGTCATCCTGGATCTGAGCCTGTTCTGTGTATTTACCTACAGGATGCAATAAATGTCTACAAGGCTGAGTTTGGACCATTACATCTAAAAGAAAACATACAATCAGTGATTTTTTAAATTGTTTACATTAATATACAAATTTTCTAAGTATTAACCTCACAGCAAATAAGTAGAACAATATAATAAACAGGTTTTAGTAGTTAAACAGGCGTTGTGCACACAGGTGCTTTGTGTCTCGGTGCTGGTGGTGTCTAGGTCTCAGAGTTTCTGTCCTCCTGCCGTCTTCTGTTGTCCTCAGGATAGGAACTGATGTTTCCTGATGATGAGGGAGGGGAAGTATGTGGGCTTCAAACTGGTCCTGGATAACAGTGGGAGACCTCCGTTGTCTGAATACTGAGACCAGAGAGTTGGTGAGATGCAGATCTTCTCTACCTCATCTAGAAACGGAGTTGGTTCAGGGAAAACTTTTCCAAAGACCAGTTCCATGATGTCATCGCCATATTCTGCAATGATAGACAATAACATTAGTGACATATTTTGTTTACAAGCAGCTTTAGGAAAGTTGTTTCTTTAGCTTTCATGTTTATAGTCACGTTTGTGTTGCTGCAGTGACTTCATATTCTTACAAATGTAATAAAATAGTGACACTAAAATTATACAAATGATTCCTTATGAAAGGAAGCTCATCAGAGAGCAGTGCAGACAGACTTACTACATGCTGCAGCTGTTTTTACAGGCCAGCTGCTGCTGAATTTGGGGAAAGTTATTCTGCAAACATCCAGATCAGATGGTCGATTACAGAAAATAATGTAATTCAATAATTTCTAAACAGACTAAACAAGTAAAACATCAAATAAATCACTCTGCTGTCATCAGACGGAGTGATTCAGGGGGTGAAGTGTTCTTAATGATGAGGGTGGCTGAGGTGTGTCATCACTCACTTTGGTCTGGTCCAGACCGTCTCTTTACTGGTGGGTCTCCTTCCTCAGTAGGTGACATGAAGCTCCAACATCTGAGCGTTCTGTGTTCCTTAGAGGAGAAGAAAAGTAACATTAGCAAGCTGGCTAAATTATTTTTACTAGCATCTCAAGGACTTGGAGAAGCAGATCTTCACTTACCTAAACATCAGACCAGTTTGTCCCAGCTGAGCTCATCAGGGCGTTAGTCTGACAGCCTGTCAGTGAAACACGGCTCCAGCCTTCTGGATGTGGACTGTAAAAAGCAAAGGAACATTTTTACTTTGTTTTAATTATTTTACAGCTGATTTGATCAGCTTTCCGATGCTCACGCTCATACAGACGGTGAGCTTTGCTGCGTCTGACTGATGCAGAGTTCGTTTTTATATCTGCAGTGAGACAAAAAATTAACCTCACTTCACTCAGAGATTGTTCTTTAAAACTCTATTAAATCCACTGTGTTGACGCACTTTAATGACTTTGTCACGCTGCATTTTAGCTGATATGGGACTTTATTTACTGGATGCTAAGATTACATCACACTCACGTAGAATAACACACAGGCTCTCTGCTGCTACAATCAGTGGGAGGTTATCATCTGGTGTAAAAGAAGGCGTTGATCAGAAATCACGTTTTATTCCACGAAAATCAGCCAAATCCACATTAATCTGGGTGCTAACTTTACTAGCATACTGTGCTAGCGATAGCAAGCCGGATGCTAACGCTTTAGTGCTGCTAATGCCCGTAAACCTAAAGTAAAGTTTGTCGACATTTTAGAGTGATATGAAGCTTACCGCTCTGCTGCTGTGTCCCGGTGCTGCCACATTCAGATGGAAATGACTCCTTTTAGATAGATGAAGCCCTCGGTACTTACTAGCCAGGAGACACGAACGAACCACGCGCGCGCGCGCACACACACACACAAACACACACACACACACACACACACACACACTACTTTTTCTTCTGTTTTTTTTTTTAGCAGTAATGTCATCAGCTCCTGGGTTTAAATACTGCCACACCACCCTTCCTTAAAACGAGGAACAGTTTTGAGCTGTGTGTGGTTAAAATAACCAGACATTCTGCATTTTTCCAATAGGACTACAAAAAATCTTAGCGAGATGAAAAAAATGGCGGATTGGCTCTGTGTTTAGCCGAGGGCCATTACCATATTTGGTAGTTATCCTGACGAAATAAATTACTGATGTAATAGATAATTTGAAAAACTGAACGGGTGGACAAATATGCCCAAAACTTAATTATTAAATATCTAAATAGCAACTCCAGTGAATAATATAAGCCTTTTTGCTCACTTAGACACTTAAAATGTGAAACACACTGTGTTAACGGATAAAAAAGTGGGTTTTTCATGTTATGTCTCCTTTAAGATAATGTACAATAACATGTCATACAAATAGATACAAATACCATTTCTCACTAACATATGCTTTCATTTGTATATGGTGTCTATTTGGTATCTCATGACTGAATAGGTTTAGGCAGAAGCAATAGCTTATATAATTGCCTAACCTACTTACAAAACAATTTTTAAACTTCCCGCAATGAACCAACAACCCAAATAAAAATAAAACACAAATCCATCCATCAACATCAAATTAATGCTCTTCAAAAATATTTTTACTGATAAGTTTTTTAAGAACTGAAAGAGAAGTTGCTAATTTTAATTCTATTTTAGCCTCATTCCAAAATTTAACTCCCATTACAGAGATACATCTACTTTTCATGCCCTTTTTGGCTTTTTGTAGAACAAACATACATACACCTCTTAAATCATATTTACTTTCCCTCTTTGCAAAAAAACATTAGTATATTTTCTGGCAGAGCCGTTAATTTTACTCCAAACATAAATTGCATTATTTTATAATAATATAGATCTTCTAATTTCATAATCTGTGATTTTAAAAACAACGGGTCAGTATGAGCATAATAATTGCTCTTGTTTATAACTCGAATAGATTTCTTTTGTATAGTTTTTATTTCATGTATATATGTTATAAAATTTGAACCCCATATTTCTGTACAATATGCCATGTATGGTTGTATTAATGAACAGTATATTAGACGTAAGGCCTAATGGTTTAGTATGTCCTTCAACTTATATAATAGACCCAAAAATTTGGCAATTTTTCCTTTTATGTAATTTAAATGATGCTTCCAGGATAAGTTAGAGTCAATCACAACACCAAGAAATTTTATTTCAGACACTCTTTCAATTTCAGTATCTGAAATTGTTAATTTAAAGTCCCCATTTTTTACCTTCTTATTTCCAAAAATCATAAATTTAGTCTTTTTTATATTCAGTGATAGTTTATTTACATCAAACCAAGATTTGAGGATATTTAACTCTTTTTCGGCCTTCTTTAAAAGTTCTTTTACATCTTTACCTGAACAAACTCAATTTGTATCATCTGCAAACATTATAAATTTGAAAAAATCTGTCACGTTACATATGTCATTTATATATAAAGTAAATAATATAGGACCTATTACTGAACCTTGTGGAACGCCACAACTTATTTCTCTAAATCCAGATTTTATATCTTTAATTTTTACATACTGTTGTCTGTCTTTTAAGTAACTCTCTATCCAGGACTTCGCTATACCTCGTAGGCCATAATTTTCCATCTATTTCAATAATCTCCTGTGGTCAATGGTGTCAAAAGCCTTCTTTAAATCAACAAATATGCTAATAGAGAGTTCTTCGCTTTCACTTGCTTGGGCTATTTCTTCTACCATCTGCATTATCGCATAGGTAGTGGTTCTGTTTTTTCTAAATCCATATTGACTGTCACTTAATAATTTATTTTTAGTAATATATACGTCAAGCTGGTTCACAAATAATTTCTCCAGTATTTTTGAAAATTGTGGAATAATTGCTATTGGTCTATAGTTTTCCATAGAATGCTTATTTCCAGTTTTAAATATTGGGATTTTTAGGAAAATGACCTTTATGTAGTGATAGGTTATATATATATATATATATATATGTCAATGGTCTCACAATAGAGAATATAACTTCTTTTATAATTCCCATGTCAATTTCATTTACATCTGTGGATTTTTTGTTTTTACATTTTTTTACTGTATTTACAACATCAGTCTCACTTATCTCATGTAGAAACATTGAGTTGATATTACTATTTATCAGATTGTTAAATGTATTTGCATCAGGTGGGACTGCTATCTCATTTGCTAATGAGGGGCCGACGCTTACAAAAAATTTGTTAAATTCTTCCACTATATTTATTAGATCATTTACTTTATGATTTAAACTATTTAGAAAGTAGTTTGGCCATTCCAATGTTGTCATCCTTTTTTGAATTATATTATTCAATATTTTCCACGTCCTTCGAGTATTGTTTCTGTTTTTATCTAAAATTTCATCATAATATTGCTTCTTTCTGATCCTAATAGCTGTAGATAATTTATTCTTATATTTTTTGTAATTGTCTTCATTTTCACTTGTCCTATGTTTGATGATTTTTCATATAATACCATTTTCTTTTTACATGCCTTTAACAGACCATCTGTCATCCACAGCTTTCTTTTATAATTTTTCTTTGTCTTATATTCTATAATAGGGCAATTTTTATTATACACCTCTAAGAATATTGACAGAAATGTATCATATGCTTGGTTTGTATCGTCTACATACACCTGATCCCAATTGTAATTCAAAAGTTCTGCTTTGAATGCCTCAATTCTGTCTGCTGTCTTCCATCTCACCAATATAGTAGAATCATCATTCTCCTTATGTAGGGGTCTAAAAATGTCCATATTTGAAACTGTAAAAACAGGAAGGTGGTCGCTAATATCATTTATTAGCAAACCACTTGTTGATTGACCACAAACATTTGTAAATATATTATCAATTAATGTGGCACTATCTTTAGTTATCCTACTTGGCCTATCAATCATAGGCCAGAGACCAAAATTAAACATCATATTCAAAAAATCTAAGGTTAACTTATGTTCCTCCCATTTGATCAAGTCAATATTAAAATCACCACAAACAAATACATGTTTCTTAGCACAAATCCTTTGCAATATATCAGCAGTATTTTGTATGAATGTTTCAACACAAGAACCTGGTGTTCTATACATGCAACTCAAAATAATTCTTTTCCTTTTGGTGAAACTGATTTCTATTATTATACTCTCCATAATGTCATCAATAACTGTACTATCAATTACTTTACAGTCAATATGCTTCTGTACATAGAAGGCCACACCCCCACCTTTCTTATTATTCCTATTTACGTTAAACATATTATAACCCTCCAATTCAAGGCATGAATCTGTTTCATTTGTTAGCCAAGTCTCACTAATTGCAATAATTTGAAATCTAAATTTTAGTGACCTTAACAAATCTTTAATTTGAGTAAAATGTGTATGGAGACTTCTGCTGTTAAAATGTATGATAGAGAGTCCTTCTATTTTAAGTTTGTTTAACTCTTCTTCATAATAATATTCTGATTTCGATTTGTTTAGATTGTAAAAATTTACCTCTGGATCAATATTATTTTCAAAACCAAATAATTTCTGGTCAGATACATTTGACCCTTTTAGGCTTAATTTTGTCTGCATTTCTTAATTTTCTGATTGTCATTTCCATTTTTAGATGTTTAACTATTGGTTTTCCAGTAAAACATGATCTTCATAACACTGAAGCACTTGGGCTACCTGATCCTCCCTTGTGGTGTCCTCCTCAGGGGCTTCATCCTCACGTTGTAAATGTTTAGCTGTAGTTCTTAGATGACTTTGATGCCTTGTTTCCACCCCAGCACTTTGTAGATTCATGTCTTTATAGACTTCTGTTCTTTGTTTCAGTCTTCCAGTCTTTTGATCCATGAGATTATTTTGTTGCATTGTCTCTATATTCATTTCCACACACCAGAAAATGTGTGATATCCTTTTTCTGTCCAGCTCCATTTCCAAGCTAGCTGTTTCTTCATGATGGTAATATGGTATCCCCTTCTTCAGAACCAAAGTGTTATGAATAAAAAAAAGAGTACTAGAAACAACGGAAATGTAACCATATGCAACCATATGTTGTCCAGTTTTTAGCAAACAACGTTGTAATCTTTTTAGGCTTTTGTTCTTTATCTTCTTCATCTGTATTGCTCCATCTCCTGGAGGCTTCGAACCATAACCACTTTTGCTTGTTCAGGTGATCCATTTAGCTTTACAAACACTCTTCCATTTCTCACCCATGTCACTTGAATTTTCTTTTGTTTCATTAGTATCTGGCCAGTTCTGGCTATTTCAGCAGTTTTTTTGTCAAGTGTTCATTTACATAAACACCAGAACCCTTTAGCTTTCTAGATTGACTCAATATATCAATCTTCTGCTTTCTGTTTACAAGCTGTACCACAATTGATGACTTGTTTCTGTTATTCTTTCTTGGAATAGTGTAGCAAGCTGAGATGTGCTCTTTATTTAGGTTAATCTTCTTGACGCTGAAGAACTGAACAACCTGTTCCTCCAGTGTGTGTAGCTCTTCAGGTGGTGCTTCCTCACCTTCTTGATCTCCCGCTGTAGCTCTTGCATAACTGCGATGCTTAGTTGCCAGCCCAGTGATGAGTATATCATTTGCTCGAGCATTTTGTTCCAAATCATCAATTCTTTGTTCCATCCTCTCAATCTTCTGATCCTTCTGTTTGATTGAGGCCTTCAGTTCCTGTAGCTCCTCCATTAGGCCCATGAGGTTAGCGTGGTGTTTAGCAACCTTGCTAATTCCTTCAGACAAAAAGTTCAAGGATTTTTTAATTTCTTCCAGCTCTTCTGCCAATTTTTTGGCTGTAGCCATCTTTTGCCGATCTTGTTTTTCGTCTTTTAGACAGATTTAATTTCATTCTTGAAGGAAAGTTAGAGGATTTCCTGAGACATGAAAGTCATGCAGGCAGATATAAATAGGGATGCACCGATGGATCGGCATTTGATCGTAATCGTCCGATAGCGCCCCTATCGGTTTTGATCGGAATTTTCAAAATAGATTAAAGCAAACCGATCAGGTAGGGTTGTCACGGTAACCAGTGTAGCGGTAAACCCCGGTAAAAAAAAAGTTGACAATAATAATAACCGTCTTGTTTTTTAAAAAACTATATTATCTTGGTGGATTACCGCGGCTGCGGTGTAGGCGCGGTGACCCTTACCAGCCACCGTATCATCGGCTGAAGTTGCCGGCGGCACATGCACGCTTTGTTTACAACAAAACTTTCTTGAAGCTAAAGCTGAAATAATGGCCAAAGGAGGAGACGGCAGCGCTCAGGAGGGCATTTATTATCCCTCAAAGAAGACAAAGTCGGAAGTACGGGCATCTTTTGGATATATGAAGAATGCCGAGGGAGTTTATAGAAGACGGACGGCTATCCTGTTTGCAGCACGAGCAGAAAAAGTGTCTGTGAAAGGCAGCAACGCTTCATATCTCATGACACATCTGCGTGACCATCACCCACATCTCTGCAGTCAACGCAAGGCAAGCTAACGTTAGCGTTTTAGCTAAAATGCGTGATCCGAGGATTTGGGTTGAGGGAGAACGCAACGAGTCGCTATATAAAGCAGCCGCAGCGCCGCTACCTGCATATAAACCGTGTCGCGGACACCGCCATGTTGAAATGATGCTACGGGGCTCCCAGGGGCAGATAAGAGTTGGTCTCTCTCCGAGAATAATTATGAATTTAACAACGATTACTGCCTGATGACATTTTCCCACATCTGCAAAGCTCACTGGAAGGACACAAACCGAGGACAATATTTTCCTGATATACGGATTGCTCAAGTAAGGGTAAAAAAAAGTATCTGATTAGAAGGCTACTTGAGTACTGAGTATCATCTGATCTAATATTTTTAAATGATGACATCAAACAGACATAAAATAAGAAGTTATGGGCAAATATTGGTATTTTAAAGACTAAAGGGAAAAAATGTAAAAAAGTAAACAACATAATTACAAAATAACACATTTTAGGCAAAATTTAGACACAAATTGAGGACAATATTTTCCTGATATACAGGGTTTATTTAATTGTGTGAAAATGTAGCACGTTTAAAAAAAATACCGCGATAATACCGAAAAACGTGGTAATTTTGGTCACAATAACCATGAGGTTAAATTTTCACACCGTGACAACCTTAATACAGACCATTTTAGATTAGGTTACATTTCCTTTATTCCCAGATTATGTAGTTTGTAGCACTCATTATAATGTAGAAAATTTCTGGCCAATCCACGTGATCGGTATCGGTGATCGGTATCGGTGATCAGCATTCTTTTATATCGGTATCGGTGATCGGCAGCAAAAAACCTGATCGGTGCATCCCTAGATATAATCAGATAAAATCAGATATAACTACATAAAAATCTAAATGTCCTAATGATGGTTACAATAATAATAATAATAATGATAATAATAATAATCATGATAATAATAAAAATAATAAAGTGATCACAACACACTACCTTCATAAAATCAGCCACAGAAGGTGTTAGGTAAAAAACACTTGTATTTTCATCCAACATGGCAGCTTACATGTGCAGACAACTTGTGTAATCCAGTCCCAACCCTGTTCAAGTTAGTTAGAGTTAAATGTGCCTTTCGCAGTAGTCAGAGTTCTCAAAGACAAGAACACGAAACATTCAACGATAAACTTCAAACAAACGTAGCTCTTAAAACCAGGTCCAGTCTTCTGTCACAACTCTGTTAGGAGATGGACGATGTTCTGTACATCATCAATGAAATGCTATAATAACACAAAACATTGGCACAGACAGTGATACTGCATGATTGTGCAAAAGAGGGATCTCCAGTCCTTTTTACTCTCTCACTTTAACATTTGTTAAAGTTGTTAGATGGCACCATGAGGCAACCAAGCTCTGTTGCAAACACCTCCTGCACATGCATGTGTGTAACAGAAGCTGAATGAAAAACTATCTCCAATAAAACGAGATGAAAAACACCACCAGTGACAACTCTCTCATGCAGATTTTGTTTGGCTGCTTTGGTATAGACCACAGTGTTTAATGGTCCTCCTTTAAAAATACTAAGTTTCACACAGTTTGTTTCAGCTTTCAAATGCACTTCCTGTTCTTCAGCAGTGGTGATGTTCCTACTCGCACTGACACAGCTGGTGTTTCCTATCCAACTTGAAAATGTCCAGCTTTAAAGCTTGTGGCAGCTTTAGTCCTTTGTTTGGTGTTGTTGCTCAGCTACAAAGCGGGTCTAGAGTTGGTAAGTCCCAACTTTGGAGGTGTGTCAGTCTTTGACCAGCCTGTAAATATGATGCTGCGCGCCGTGCTCACTAGTAGACACCTCAAAGACGTAAGCTATGCACAGCAGGGTCTCCAGTGTGTCCCTGTTGGTCAGCACCTGCAGATAAACACAGAGTGCATTTTAGGACATGTCCAACTGCAACAATAGGAAGAAAAAGGATGAATTCAACCAAAATGGGGGTTTTCTGAGTCATTAAACATTGCAATGGATTATAAATTATATTGAGGTGTAAAAAAATAGTTTTGGCTCATGTGACCATATCAAAGATATGTTTTATCTATGGTGAACAGGGGCGTGGCTACTCACTTTGTACCAGA